AATGTCTAAGGACTTGTTCCCATCATCATGTTGCTGTAACATATGGCAGAGCACCAAGCAGAGTGCACTACAATGCATGAAAAAGAATTTTGCAGTGAATTAATTACTGCAAAGCAAGTAAGAGTGAACGGGTCATAAAACTAAAAACATAGTTTGCATTAGTTTATTACTGTACTGCTCTGATGATATTCTCCCAACCTACCCTTTGCCTTCCTGTTCATTTACCTATGTGTAATGAAAAAGCACAAACTTTAATAAAATAGTATATATATATATATATATATATATATATATATATATATATATATATAGTTTGTGTGTGCTTCCAAATTTGCTTAGTTTTATTCAAGTTGATTTGAACAATTTGTGTAACACTTCCCTTGCATACCACATTATAGTCTCAATAGGTTATTAGCAATATCTATATAACTTCTAAGATGCAGAGCAAAATTGTTTTATGTTTAATGATTTAATCTAGCATTAAAATGTCACCTCCATCAAAGATTCAAGTCTTTAACTCTTGTTAGTGCCAACAAGTTCCTTGTTAACAAAATGCTTTATATACAAAAATAAACTACAGTACTTGACTTGTTACCTGCCCAACATGGACACTCTTGCATGTAACCATAATTTTGCTCACTTAACTTATGCCGCCGAAATATCTCTCTTTCCTTTTCAGCTGATCTGCTGTGCCACACTCTCACACTAGACACTCTTTAAGCTCTGCAAAGCTATTTATATTCAGCTAGAACTATATTTCACAGTTAGCTTCACTGCAGAGATGTGCAAATCTTCTCTGTTCTCTTAGTTCGCCATTTATGTTTTCTGCCTCATACTGATTGTCCAGAGCCCCTCCACCATACAATTTTGCCAAGCAGCCAGCCTGCATAATAAACATGTTATTGGAATGCATTTTCATTGTAGCAAAGTTTTGAAGATCAGGAACATGCACAACCCAGCAAGGTAGTCTCACAACTAGAAACAAACAACAGATTTCCAGGCCTACATAAAAAAAATAAAAATGGCACTATCTTGGTGAGGTATTACAGCATCCACAAAAATCTGTAAATGTGTGCAACTTAAACCTCTGTTTTAATGTAACTTGTTAGACAGTGTCATTTTTTTTTTTTTTTTTTTGCAGGCTAATTGGTAACTGTGCTGGGAAATATTTTGTATGTTTGTACTGTGCAATGCCTTTCAATGTGTACCTTGCAACAAAAGCTAAATATAAATGGTTGACATTCTTTATTGGTCTCACAACTACCTATGAGAAAGTCCTAATTAGAGGCATTAGAGGCAGACCCTTCCGGTAGAACTTACTTATACTTTGGTAGAAAATTCTATAAATCACTAACTAACGAGGCTTGGCCTGTTTCACATGGGCTTCAGCTTGTATAACAGAAGTGTGAACAGCAAACTTTGACAAAGCTTTTGCAGAGCTTTCAGCAAGCTTTGTTGAAGCATTTACAGTACCATTCAGCTCCATTTTGTAAATGTTGAACCAGGGGTGGACTGACCATTTGGAAACTCAGGCACTGCCCGAGGGCCCAGGGTCAGTAGGGGGCCCCATAAGATGCCCCTGGTACCTTTTTCATAGGCTTTTTTGAGTTTGGGCAAGGACACAGGGGCCCCATGATCCCCTATTGTCTGGGGGCCCCCTGAGTAGTGAGTCCGCCCCTGCTGCCCAAGGGCCCAGGGTCAGTAGGGGGCCCCATGAGATGCCCCTGGTACCTTTTTCATAGGCTTTTTTGAGTTTGGGCAAGGACACGGGGGCCCATGATGCCCTATTGCCGGGGGGACCCCATGAGTTGTCAGTCCACCCCTGTGTTGAACACAGATCCTAATAGGAGTGCTGATTGCCACTTTAAACAAGCTGCTAGCAGGCTGCAGCACTTCTTGAAGCTTGGTGAAAGCCTGCTCAAGCCTGTTAGCAACTTGCTTAAAGTTGCAATCAACACTACCATTAGGATCTGTGTTCAACATTCAACAAACTGGAGCTGAATGGTACTTTAAGGGCCTCAACAAAGCTTGCTGAAAACTCTGCAAATGTTTTTCAAAGTTTGCTGTTCACACTGTTCTTATACAAGGTGAAGCTCATGTGAAACAGGCCTATAAAAGATACAGCGCACCAGCCTGTCTAAACTTGAACATTTGGTTTTAAATCCACTTTCCTTACAGTGTGCTACACTTTGCACTTTTGTCACTTTACCACTGCATTTTGTGCTATGGCAATAGTAAGTTCTTATAAAAGATTGTTCAGTAAGATAAGGACACTAGATACAGTAAAAACCATACTATTACTGGACTTTAATACTGCTAAGTAACCAGTGAGATCTGGGCCACTGCAAAATGAGTACTTATGCAACTCACTGTAGGTATAGAGGATTATTAAGTTGCAACATTTCCAATTGCTGTAGCTCATTGTGACCAATCAGAATTCAAATTTAACCGATATTAGTAAAAAATAAAAGGAAACCCAAATGGCATCAGCTTGCAGACTATAACCAGTTAAAATTAAGTATGGGCTTACCTTTCACCTTATTTAAAATACTTGAAACCACAGATCCAGTGTTGTTCATTTATTTTGGTTTAGATCAGGGGCGGACTGACAACTCATGGGGCCCCCCGGGCAGTAGGGGATCATGGAGCCCCTGTGTCAAACTCAAAAAAGCCTATGAAAAAAGGTACCAGGGGCATCTCATGGGGCCCCCTACTGACCCCGGGCCCTCGGGCAGTGCCCGAGTTTCCAAATGGTCAGATAAATGTTTATGTGCAATGAGGAAAGTAAATGTACCTCAGGGGGCTTGTGGAGATGAGACATTACTGTGGCAGGAAAAGAAAGTTTTCACGGCTTTTTACAAATGTAATCTCATGCTGCTTTTCTATTTCTATTTGCTGTTGCAGTGGTGGGGTTTCACACATGAACTCTTAGACTTGTCCAGCTTCTACAACTATTGAAACCATTGAAAAGCCACATGATAGATTCACACTCATCATCTGTTTTTCCATAATTAAGAGGTTTGAAGCCTCTGGGAGATGTAGGAACCTGGTAGGTGCCAGTGCCTTCTAAAAAAATTTAACTATTTTGGTAGAGTTGTCCTTTAAATATTGATGACGCCTGAATAGGTGACAGGGGCGAGTACATGTAAGAAAACTATTCTTGTTACACTGCTGAAAAAAACATTGTTGTAATAATACTTTGATGTAATTATAGTAGAGGTTGGTTTTGTTGCTGGCAATGCATTACATCTAATAATATATACACAGTTCCTGAATTGATGGTCAAACCTATTTTTATTTGGTTTCATGTTCCAATTTCTGATCTGAATTCCTGGCAGGAAAAAACTGTAATAGGTAATTCATGATCTATGACTCAGTTTCTTATTTGATGACTAAGCATGTGAGCAATGCACATAGCTGATAGTTAGCACTTAGTTTCCTGCAATAATAACTAAAATTTAAGCCACTCTAAAACTTTAATATCACAGTACATCATCACATTATCATCACATTATACCGCTATGTGCTATAAACTGAGTTACATAAAAGATTAATGGATTCATACCTACATGCTATGTATAACTACTGATCATAACTAGCTACAGCACAGGTTTATTCTGATACAGAGAAAGTATTGATGTGCCACAGATGTACGTAAAGCTACCATGACACAGGGATGTTGTACCTTGGCTTGCTTGTTTCATTGCTACTGAGCTCAATTTAATGGAAAAAATCTTTATACTATATATTGTATTGATATAAGAATAAACCGCTTCCTTTTCTAACATGAGAAAGGCAGCAAAACATTTTCCATGCATAAGACCACGTTTAGCCTAGGTTCACACTGTGCACCACATGTGAATCGCACAGGAATTACACCACATTCCTGTGCAAATCACATGTGATTCTATGTGACGCAATTTGAGCCCATTCATTTTGAATGGCTCAGATTGTACTGCATCCACATCCAAAAGGTGTAGGTAGCTTTTTGGTTATTTTCACTTGAACCAGATTGCATGGGTGTTTGTACACATGCAATCTGGTTCAGGCAAATGTACTGTATCTGCGACCTGCTTTTGGGGTGTCGTTATCTTTCCATTGACAACCACAACAGATCACAGAACACAGTGTGATTACTATGCAGTGTAGGGAAATGAACAGGAATTGCTGCGGTTCCCGCACCGCATTAGTGTGCACTATAGTTAAGTTTTACAGTATGAAATAGTATTTTGCTTTTCATGCACATAGCAAAGTTTTCTGTTTTTGACTAATTTAGTGCCTAATTCACTGTTTACACATTCATATATGTGTAGACAAATGGTGATACATCATCAAACATTTTCAGCAACTGATATGAAGTTCATATATTGGTATACCACCCATGTAGACTAACTGCCCAAGTCTAGTTGTAAAGCCTCAACATTTATTTAACCACTTGCCTACCGGGCACTTTTACCCCCTTCCGGCCCAGGCCAATTTTCAGCTTTCAGGACTGTCGCACTTTGAATGACTATTGCGCAGTCATGCAACACTGCACCAAAACAACATTTTTATATATTTTTTTTAGACATAAAGAGCTTTTTTTTGGTCGTATTTAATCACTGCTGGGTTTTTTATCTTTTGCTAAACAAACTAAAAAAGACTGAAAATTTTGAAAAAAAAAGGTTTTTTTTAGTTTCTGTTATAAAATCTTGTAAATAAGTAATTTTTCTCCTTCACTGATGTGCGCTAATGAGGCTGCAGTGATGGGCACTGATAGGCTGTACTGATGGGCACTGATAGACGGCACTGATGAAGAGGCACTGGTAAGTGGCACTGATGGGCATTGACAGGCATCACTGATGGGCACTGAAAGGCAGCACTCATATGGCGCTGATAGGCGGCACAAATTTGAACTGTTAGACAGCACTGATGGGCACTGATAGGCAGCATTAATGGGCACCTATAAGTGGCACTGGCTTGCATTGATAGGCATCACTGACTGGCACTGTTTGGCAGCACTGATAGGTGTCACTGACTGGCACTGATAGGTGTCACTGACTGGCACTGATAGGTGTCACTGACTGGCACTGATAGGTGTCACTGAAAGGCAGCTCTAAAGGGCACTGATATGTGGCATTGGTTTGCACTGGTAGGCACTGATATGTTGCATTGATGTGCACTGATGGGCACTGGTATGTGGCATTGATGAGCACTGACAGGTGGCCTTGATGTGCACTGACAGGTGGCACTGATGGGGGCTACACTGATCATCAGGGCATTGATCATCAGTGCCCTGATGATCAGTGTAGATGTCCCCTCTGAGGAATGCCGCTTACCGGCTCTCCACTCCTCATGTGCTGTCAGCATGAGGAGGAGAGGACTGCCGATAACTGGCATTTCATGTTTACATGTGATCACCTGTGATTGGGCACAGCGTATCACATGACAGAGCCTGTGTCAATGGCTCTTTACTGTGATCAATGATCTGTTGTATCCCAGGTACACAATGCACCACAGATTGCTGCGCACAACCTGGGGTACGCATGCACAGTTAGAGTGGGAGAATGTCATATGATATCCCCCCAGAATGAGAGAGCAGCCGCCCGCCCATCATTCCCTTATATGGCAGGCGGGAGGTGGTTCATCTTAATTGCATCTGTTACATAAGGAATATGTAAACCCAACATTTCATATTCTTTATATATGCCTGATGTACTATATATTTGTATGAAAAAATATCCTGTTCTCTTTGTATTGCTTCCTTTGTGTGAAATACCTGATGTTCTTGCCAGCCCTTCTACTTTCCTAATAAAAACGGACCGTGTTAGACATGAGAACACAGTGTGGTCTGTTTCATAGCTGTGCTGAGAATTCAGCCTGCTCTTCTCCAATGATCATACTTGTGTTCACATCCCCCCCCCAAAACCCCACAAAACCAATCATTGGGAAGACCAATGTGCTGCTGTTTCTCTTCCCACAACTCTCTAAACTCCTTATGCAGATGAGAATAGAGAGTATGGGATCACTTATAAAAAATGGGAAAAGATATTTATATTTTTTTATATGAATTTGATTTGATTGATCACAGTGAGCTTCTCACAGTGTGCAATAGAACCTGCAGCAAGACAGACAGAGCCTGTCCCATTTCCAGCCTGGAGGATGCCTAATTTAGACTTTCCTCCTCAGCCTGACAGTTGCTGGCCCTCCCCTTTCCTTTATTGGATTTTAGTTCTTTCAATCATTAAGGTTCAGCATCACATATGGGGGGTTTCTAGGAAGGTCTGCATGCAAATGCAATCTACTTAAGAACATCAACTTCTCAAAACTGATATCCACCCATTAAAGTACTTTGAGATTTTTTAAAACACCTCCTAAGAGCAAGTATACTGCTTGCATCAGAGCTGAGAGATCTTAAAGGGAGATCTGAGGCAAGGTGCCCCAATGTTTAATGTACAGTGCCCTGCTGGCCCCTCCCATCACCCATAATCTGCCAGCATTGCACTAGGACACTGGGCTTAAAATTTGGTATGTAAAAAAAAGGAAAGTTTATTTAAAAATAGCACTACTAAGTTATTGAGAGGTGGAGTGTCAGGAAACACAAAATATAAGCATATTATTTTCTAATTCTTGATAGAGCAAGGAACAAGTAAAACTCCTTCCAGAACCCTTTTAGAGAGATGTACTCTCACTTCCCATCCTGCTGGTAGCAGTTACACCAGACAGGGAGTGAGAAAAAATCTGCAACTGGGACCCTAACAAAAATAAAAATCTGACAGGGGTTCTAGACTCCTCCTACTCTACTAAAGAAAAACAATGTTAATTCTATATTGTTGGTCTTGGAGAGTTCCCCTTACCTCTTGCCTGGTAAAATGTTGTCAGCAGAACAGGAAGCAAGGGGAGAATTTTCTAACTCAACCCCGAATAGCAGTGAAAAACTGCCAAGGGTTCTAATCCTTCCCCACTCTATTCAAAACTAGGAATGAAGGATTTGGCTGGAAATGCACTTAAGGATATGTAAAACTATCTGACTACTTTGTTTTACCTCTCTCATGGTTCAAATTCACATACTGTAAGTACATATTTCAGTATACCCATATTCAGTTTTAAATTATTCATCTAGTCAGGTTTCACTAGATATTTGAAAGTTACACTTGAACATTCATGGATGTATATTTGATCACCTCAAGGTAAGTTTAGGCAAAACTGGCTTCTCAGTTTTTGATGGACAAGTGCAAGTTCAATAACTTCTGTAGAGATCTTTCCCAAGAAAACTGTTCAAATCCCGTTTACTCTCTCCACTAATTTATCTAATAATTCCAGCAGAGACAGATAACTGCTGCATAACCCTCAGGTACAAATGTATATGAACTGTGGGCTCATTTACACTTGCTTCAAAATGTTGCATCTGATATGCTTTTTTAAAGTGGTCTGAATGCCAATCAAAGCACCTTTTTATTTAAAATGATTACTTTACAGTCCTGTTTACACTGTTGTGTTTTCCTTTGCTTTGCTTCAAAAAGTATACTCCACATCACTTTCTTGGTGCCTCAAAGCTCTCCAAAGACCCCACAGAAGGCTATGACATTACTTGCTAACAGCACCTGCAGCTTTTGAGGGGCTTTTAATCACAGTTAGACCTCATCAGCAGTCACTTCCGGTTCATGTGTATAATTTTGGGAAATGTTTGATGCAGATGTCACATCTGGTGTGCAGCATGAAGTTGTGGGAAGGTGGGGTCCAGACTGGAGCAAAGCAAGTAGCAGATAGCACACATGATGTGCAACATGGGAATTCTATAACAGAAGATTAGCAGGATCCAGAGAGACAGGAGCAGCAGAAGATCAGCAGAGCTGGGTGACCTGAGCAGGAGACACTAGCAGATGTCACATGTGGTGAGCAGTGTAGGAACAATATAGTGGGATATGAGTGCTGACCAGAAAGAGAAGAGAATTATCAAACCTGAAGAACAGCAGAGTTGGGGGTTACTACTGAGTGGGGGATCAGCAAAGCTGGTGGATACTACTGAGTGGGGGATCAGCAGAACTGGAGGTTACTACTGTGCAGCTGGGGGTACTATTGAGTAGGGCATCAGCAGAGCTCTGAGCACTACTGAGCAGGGGGTCTGATGAACAAGGGTAATAATAACCTGGGGATCTGCTGAAGGTGGGTACTAATAAGCTGGGGATCTGCTGAACGGGGGTACTCGTGAGCTGGGGATCTTCTGAGTGGGGGTATTACTGAGCCTGGGTTTTACTGGGCCCCTTCAAAAGAAATAGAAAATCAACACACACAGGGCATCTGTCAAGCTTCATTAAAGATTTAAAAAAAGCATCATTGAAGTATGACAGAAGCATGACAGAAGCATCAAAAAACACACATACAAAAGCATGTTGAGGTGGTAGGCACTTTAATGTGTGTTAAAGTCAAAGCCAGTGTAAATGAGCCCTAATATTAACAGGCTTTTCTCTCCTCTAGGTTTTTCAATGTTTTACTTAACTTTTAACAGCTAATTGATTAAGATTGGAAAAAGGGAAATTAGTACAGATGTGGAGTTCTGCATAGGAACTATTCAGTACTTTTGATTATGGTAATTCTTCCGTTAAAGTATTAAAATGAGTAGGACCTGATTGGTTGCTACTGGCCACAACTTTTAGATTCTTTTTTTAAAATAATAAATCAGCCCCTTAATTAATTACAAGAGGCGACAAGGTCTAATCAAGTGCTTCAAATTAGGTGAACATGTCCTATAGCGTTTCAATTATTAAAAACATTTATTTTACAAATTTTCAATATGTATTCTGCAATATAACCCTTGATACATCAATAATTTGAAGCTGGTGTCATTATAGAACCATATTTGCTGTTGAGCAAATTGAAAAAATGTTTTATGTCAGACTTGTTTTTCAGTCTATAGTTGTAATTTAATTACCGTAATATAGGTACATTTGGGTTGATTTACTAAAACTGGATAGTGCAAATTCTGGACCAGCTCTGAATGGTAGCCAATCAACTTCTAACTTCAGCTTTTTCAATTAATCATTGACAAAATAACCTGGAAGCTGATTGGTTTCTACAAAGAACTGCACCAGATTTTGCACTCTCCAGTTTTAGTAAAACAACCCTATTGTGTAGGTACCCCACCAGTCATTTCAGCTGTAATTACAAAATAAAAGTACAAAAAAAGTGTAATTCATTTAGATTTTTTTTTCAAAATTTAGATTCAACATGTGTTTATTATATTTTATTAGCTGTGTGTGCATTTGTGTGTGTGCATGTGTGTGCATGTTAGGTTAGTGATGTGAATGAGCGCTAAGGGTTATGATTTCCCTGAGAAAGCATTTGTATTATAGATGCTCAAATGATCGAGATGCTTTTCCTGCCAGTGCTGACTATGCATACATCTGTGAGTTATAACAGCACTTTATTGTTACACAAAGATTTCACTGTATTTAGTTCTTCAGTAAAGCAATAAAGAAGGAAAGAGAAGCAGTTGCTGAATGCTTTAACATATATAGAAATGCCTGTTGATTTTGTGGGGCGAGGTTTTATCATACATAGAGTTGCACTACTACAATTCTAAGAATAACACTATTACATTACTAAATATAACTTTTACATATTGCTCCTCCCTAAAGGTTACTTTTCTATAATATAAATATAATAATAAATAAAGGTGTGTAGAGCATTGGGATTCCCTGTGTCTTAAAGCTTACCTGTGCTTCACCCATGCAGAGCAAAGCAGCAAGATTGCTTTAATGTCCTCTTCCATAGTAGCACCTTTTCCTTGCTTCCCCATCATTACGTTCCACTGACAGCAGCAAAGAAATGGTATTAAAAACACATGACTAATCATGTGAAAGGGCTGGTGCTTGTTGATTGGCCCAGTACTGTCACATGGGCAAATAGAGAATCATCAGCACTGTGTAAGCTCAGACTAGAGTGACTCAGAGCTTACAAAGGGCTGCCTTTATTCACACCAGGCAGTTGAATAAAATGTGTGATGTGAGTAATTAAAGAAACAAGCAAACTTGGACTACCTATTGACAAGCAGATCATACCTATAGAAGAGATGTGCTTGTCTTTACTAAAGCTGACATATACAGTATATACACATAGCTGTTTTTAACCACACACAGATGATACCAAGCACAAGCACAGGTTCAGCGAACAAATCATTACATATACTGAAAACGGGAAAAATCGGTTATTGATAACAGATTTTTCAACATACTGGAAAATATCTGTCAAAGATAATGGGCACTCATACTTGCTTAATTATCTTTCACAAGGGTACAACTTCCCCATAGTGCATTTGCTGCCTGAATACGTCTCACAGTTATTTGGATGAACATCTATTGGTTGGACGGAAAAATGAAAAGTGATTCCTGATTGGCTTATTTAGTCCATCCCCACTGCTGTCTACAATTATGTAGCAAATATAGGACCCATAGACAAAATTATTTAGTTTCCTCTTAAATTGTAAACTATGGAAGACATTAATCCAAGTGAAAGATTCAT